AAAGCTGCAGAGGAAAGAAAAACATCAACAAAATGAAAAGACAATGTACTGAATGGGAGAAAATATTGGTAAATCACATACCTTCTAAGAGGTTAATATCTAAAAAATATAAAGAACGCATACAATTCAATAGCAAAAAAAACTGAAGCAATTCAGTTTTTAAAGTGAGCAGAAGATCTGAATAGTTATTTTTCCAGAGAAGACATACAGATGGCCAATGGGTGCATGAAAAGATGTTCAACATCACTAAGAACCAGGAAAATGAAAATCAAAACCACGATGAGATATCTCCTCACAACCATCACAATGGCTAGTATCAAAAAGACGAGAAATAACAAGTGTTGGCGAGGATGTGAAAAAAAGGAAACCCCTGTATGCTGGTAGTAGGAATGTAAATTGGTGCACCACTGTGGAAAGCCGTATGGAGTTTCCTCAAAAAATTAAAAATAGAACTACCATATGATCTAGCAATTCCACTTCTGGGTATTTATCTGAAGGAAATGCAGACACTAACTCAAAAAGATATCTGCACCCGCATGTTCATTGCAGTGTTATTTACAATAGCCAAGATATGTAAACAACCTAAGCGCCCATCCGTGGGTGAATGGATATATATGTGTGTGCGTGCATACATACACACACACTCACACATGACACCATGGAATGTCATTCAGCCATAAAAAAAGGAATGAAATCTTGCCATTTGCAACAGACAACACAGATGGACCTAGAAGGCATTATGCTAAGTGAAATAAGACAGAAAGAAAGACAAATACTGTATGATCTTATTCATATGTGGAATCTAAAAAAACAAAACCAAAAAACCCAAGGTTATATATAGAAAGAACAGATTAATGATTTCTGGAGGTGGGGGTTGGGGGTGAGCAAAGTGGTGAAAGGGGTCTAAAGGTACAAACTTCCATTTATAAAATAAGTCACAGAGATGTCGCGGGCAGCATGGCAATTATAGTCAATAATACTATATTGCATATGAAAGTTGCCAAGGGAATCAATCTTAAGAGTGCTCATCACAAGAAAAAAAAATTCTTGTAACTACATGAGGTGACAGATGCTACTAGACTTATTGTGGTGATCATTTCTCAGAGTATACAAATATTAAATCACTTTAAAAAAAACCTAAATAAATGTGGAGATATACCATGTTCATAGATTGGAAGGCCCATATTCAGATGCCAATTGTTCTCAAACTTATGTACACGTTCAATATATCTGGTAAAAATGTACAGGTTAATCCTAGAATTTATATAGAAATGTAAAGACCTAGAATGAACAAAAAAACTTTTCTAAAAGAATGACAAAGTGGGAGAACTTCTCTGATTTCAAAATATACTTAATAAGCTACTGTGATTGGGAAGGCTGGGTATCAATGTAAGGACAGACATGAGTCAATGGAACAGAATGGAGTTCAGAAATGTATCCACATATATGTGCTTGATTGGTTTTTGACCAAGGTGTCATGGCAATTCAGAGAAGGGGAAAAGCAAGTCCTCAATAAATGGTTTGGATCAACTGGGTTTCCAACTATGAGACTTCTAGGTGAAAGCAGAATAGAAGAGAATATCTTTGCGACTTAGGGGTAGGCCAAGATTTTCTAATAAACATGGAAAGCCCAAACCATGTAAGGAAAAAAATTGATAAATTGGTCCTTAAATTAAGATTTTTCTACTTTTTGAAAGACACCAGTAAGAAAATGAAAAGGCAAATGACAGACCAAGAGATATATTTATAGCCCACATGTCAAACAAAGGATTTGTATCACAATGTATGCATATTTCCAAGACCCCTAAGAAGGTAACCCAATAAAAGTGGGCAAAAGATTTGAATAGATATTGCATTAAAGAAGATAAACAAATGGCCACAGGATGAAATCATCAATATCATTAGCTATTCTAGAAATGTGGATGAAAATGACAGTGAGCTATGATTACATGCCCATTAGGATGACCGATGTCAAAAAAAAACTAAGCACACCAAGTCTAGGCATGGATATAAATATACTGGGGCATCTGGGTGGCTCAGTGGGTTAAAGCCTCTGCCTTCAGCTCATGGTCTCAGGGTCCTGGGATCGAGCCCCACATCAGGCTCTCTGCTCAGCAGGGAGCCTGCTTCCTCCTCTCTCTCTGCCTGCCTCTCTGCCTACTTGTGATCTCTGTCAAGTAAATAAATAAAATCTTAAAAAAATAAAAATAAAAATAAATAAATCTACTGGACCTCTCGTTTATGCTGGTGGGAGTTTGAGATGGTACAACCACTTTGGGGAAAGGTTTGGTGTTTCCTTCAAAAGTTAGACATATACGTACTGTGTGACCCACACATTCCACTCCTGGATATTTACTCAAGAGAAATGGAAACCTGTGTCCATAAGGAATCTTCACAGCAGCTTTATTGGTAATAGCCTAAACCTGGAAACCACTCAGATGTCCATCAGTGGGTGAACACACCCTGAATGTGGTACGCCCACACAATGGAATACCATTCAGCAACAAACAAGAGTGGGTTGTGGGCACCCATGACAACATGGGTGAACTTCACAATAATCACACTGAGGGAGAGAAGCCAAACCAAAAGAAAGAGCGTGTACTCTGTGATTCTTTTTGCGTAAAGTTGTAGTAAATGCCAACGAATCTATAGTGAAAGAGAGCAGACCAGCGGGGACACGGCGAGGGTGGGGAGAGGTGGATTACCGGGGCACAGGGAATATGGTGGATGTGTTCATGACCTTGCTTGAGTCCCTGGCTTCACATGTGTTTACCTATGTGAACCTCATGAAATTGAACACTTAGATGGGGACGGTTTATTGTATGTCCATTATATACCTCAATAAGATAAAGTAAAAAATTCATTGAACTCTATATACTTACGTTTAACCCAAGTTATACTTCAGTTAAAAAGTAAATAAAAATTTAAAATGTGTCCTTGAGTATGTGATCCCTGTCCCCCTCCTCCGCTCTCTCCACTCCTCTCCCAGTTCATCCTTCAGTGACTCCTGTTGCATTTGGTGGAAATCCACACCTCCCTGACCCCACAGGGCAGCTACCATCTCCTCGAAACTCTGTCCTTTCTCACTCCAGGACCTCCTCCTTTGAACATGTGGAAGGCCACTGTGTTTGAGTGTTAGGACTCCTTCAACAGACTCCCACAGACTGAGTGGCTTAAGCCACCGATGTGTGTGGTCTCGGTTCTGAAGGCTGGAAATCCAAAACTCAAGGTGTCGGCAGAGCGGGTCCCTCCTGAGGCCCCCCTCCTTGGCTGCTCTCCCAAGGTCTTTCCTCTGTGTGTCTGTTCCAACTGCCTCTTCCTTAGAGACACCCATCCTATGGGACTAGGGCCCCTCATGGCCTCACTCTAATTAGTCACCTCTGTAAAGACCCTCTGCCCAAATGAGGTCCCATGCTGAGGTATGGGCCATGTCAGGGCTCCAACATATAAATTTGAGGGGAGACACAATTCAGCTCATGACACCCCTCTGTGCAGAACCCGCTGCTTACTTCCCCCAGCCACTAGCACCCACCCCTTCCTCATTCTCTTTCATCAGCAGGCACTTCGGGGACACCCCCGCCCCAGCCACATGGGCCCGTGTGGGAGGGTGTCCTGGAGACATCCATCTTGCAGCATCCATCTCATGGGTCACTTCCGGGCTCACCTCCACCTCCTTCCGGTCTCGCCTCCGCCTCCTTTGCTGGTGTCCGTGCTAAGTCAGGTGCCAGTGAAGGGCCCGGACTCAGCAGGTGCGTGGTTAGTCTTTGCTGAGTGCACAGTGAATGAATGAAGGAATGAATGAGTGAGCCAGCAAATGCGTGAGTCGACCTGGCCACGCCGCTCCTCCACCTTCGCCAGACCTGGCGGCCACTGGGATCCAGGGGAGGCCACACTGCTTTGGAGCCTGCCTGGGCCACTGGAGCAAGCTTCTCCCTTGGCTGAAGGAGGTCTCAGGAGCCTGAAGTTGCTGTTTGCACCTTCTCGAGCTGGAAGGAGATCAAACGGGCTCACGTTCAGCTGCAAGGCTGGCGAGAGGCCACCGCCAGATAGATGGGCCTGGGCTCCTGCGTTCCTGGAGAGGAGCCCTCATGCTTCCCGGGCCCTCTCCGCGGACACGCTGACCCACCTTCCCCAGCCAGGTCCAGGATGGGGTTGAGGGGTCAGGGGGATGCCGCCAGGAAGGGGTGCTGGGCAGTCCTAGGCAGGCAGGAAGCCCCAGGGCCTGGCTCCTGAGCAGTGGGAAGGGAGAAGTAGGCTCTGTAAATGGGATGGTGGAGGTTGCTTCCCCGGGGCCAGGATGCATGTGCTTGTGGGCACTTGCCGGGGGCGTCCGGGGCCACCACCCCTGGTTGGCCAAGGCCTCACACAGCAGGCAGTGGGGCCGAAAGGGCCAATTTGAGCCCTGCCCAGCCCACGCAGCCTGCCCGACAGCCGGGGCCTCTTTCCTCCCTGACAGCCCCTTTCCTGCCATGCCCCATCTCGGTGTGGGCGGCGGGTGGGACTCAGGGTACTTACTCACTGATTTCAAAGTCCTTGTGCCAGGCTCGTCCCCGTAGGTCTCTGGGAGGCACTGGGCAGCTTTGTGTCAAGCTTCTCCATGCTTTTCAAAAGGGTCACCCCAAAGGGAACACACACCGTGACCAGGATCGCGACCTCATATCCCCCCCCCACCCAACAGCACTGCCGTGTCTATAAAATGAGACCATAAAGTCCCATCTAGAGGGGTCATGGGGAGAAATTCACCTTCTATGAGATCATGTTGAAGGGCCTGACACGGGGCTGCCCCGTTGTAGACAAGCCCCTCCACCGGAGGTGGGGGGATATATTTTGTCGAAGGTCAAGGTGTGGGCAGGGCGGTGCTCTCTGTGGAGGCCCCAGGGGAGGGTCTTTCCTGCTTCTTCCAGTCCTAGGGCTCCAGATGTCCCTGAGCTGGTGGCCACGTCGCTCCTGTCTCTGGGATCACACAGTCCCTCCTCTCCTCCTCTGCCTCTCTCTCACACGGACACCTGTCATCTATTACTCACTGGGTTAGGGCCCCCATGTATAATCCAGAATGGTCTCATCTCAGGATTCTTCACTCAATCACAACTGCAAAGACCCTTTTCCCAAAGAAGGTCACGTTCACAGGTCTGTGGGATTGACGTGACTGTCACCACTTAAGCCCGTACCCCCGACATGGGAGGAGGTCTGGGGCAAGGACAGTAAGAACACCCAGAAGGAGAGAACAGGAGCGGGAGCCCTTGTGGGTTCAGGCCTGACTGAGGGCCCCTGGCCCCTGAAAGGGGACTTGGACTATTTCAAGGAACCAACTCCAAAACCAGGAAAACTTCCCAAGATACATGGTCTGCGGGCTACCACGGCCCCCACACGGCTGGCCCATCTGCCCTTGTCCACAGAAGACCACGGGCTGCCCTGAAGAATGCCCCAGAGCGTCAAGGCAATGAGGGCCTTGGAGTGGGGCCAACTGTGTGAGCCTGGCAAGGTGCTCAGCCTCCGGGAGGGATAATAGTGGCTCCGAGGCCCAGGGGACAGCAGCATGGCCAGGGTGAGGCTGGTCAGCAGAAAGCGACCTGGGTCCCATCCTCTCCAGGTAACAGGTGGATGCCTCGGGCCACCGAGACCTGAGGGCTGGTCAACGGGGTCCGTGCACAGACACGCCGCCCCGTCCTCCAGAGGAAATTAAATCGATAAATACAAGGGGACAAGGAAAAATGCAGACCGTGTACCATTTACGTGAGTGATTAAAATTCTTTGGCTGGCGACGTTTCATCCCACCTCCAGGAGAGAAATATTCCCTCTTATTAAATTCAAATGCAAAGTGTCAGATGGGGGCTGGTTGTTAGGTGGTTTCCCTGTTTGTGCCTGGCGGCTTAGCCGGGAGCCCGGCGGCGGCTTCTTCAAAGGGGCCCCTGCTAATCACCCCCTTCCCCAGCGGGGGCTCAGCCTCCCGGAGGCTCAGCCCCTCGGCCCTAAGCAGAAGCTCTTGCCCGTGGGCAGACACAAAGGCACGCAGGCTGCAGGCTGCACGTCGTCCCGCCCGTGGGTCCCTGCAGCAGGGAGCCTGTCCCTGTCCCACGAAACCAGGGGGCCCGGCCACGCTTCCTTGTGACCCCTCTGTGCTCTCTCTCCAGTTCCCTCTGCCCCGGGCTTAGCCCTGGACCCCCATGTATCAAGAAATGTGTCCAGAGTATCAGAGCACGCCCTACTCTTGCTTCATTCTCTCCCTGTGGCTACACACATGCACAAGCACACGCACGTACATGCACACACACGCTGCCTGGGCACAACGACCAGACCTGTAGGGTCTGGCCTGCCTCTGACCTCCAGCTGGGTGCCCTGCCCATGCTCCTCCAAGATCCTGGACTCTGGCTTGCCCCAGCCTTGCTCATGCTGTTCCCTCTGCCTGGAATGCAGCCCTCCCTGCTCCTATTACTGTCCATCCATCCTCCAGGTCTCTAAGGGGCAACTTGGGCAGGCTTAACAAAGTCCCCCAGACGGGGGGCTCACACAGCAGACATGCACCGGCTCCCCATCCTGGAGGCTGAAGCCCGAGATGCAGGCAGGGACCGGCAGGGCGGGTCCTCCTGAGCCCTCTCTCCCTGTGTGTGGACAGCAGTCCTCTCCCTATGTCCTCATGGGGTTGTTCCTTTGTGCGTGTCTGTGTCCCGACCTCCTCTTCTTGTAAGGACCCAGTCCCAGTGGCTCAGGGGTCCACTCTCACAACCCCGATTACCTCTGTGAAGAGCCTCTCTCCAACCAAGTAGTACTCTGAGATGTTGGGGTTCCAGTGTGTGAATTTGGGGGGACCCATTCGCCCGCGACAGGGTCTAAACCCACCAGCCTCGGCGAGGACAGGTGTCTGTCCTATAACCACCACTTACCTAGCACTGCTCACAGAGCAAATGTTCAGCAAATATTGGTGGAAAACTGTATGAACTTGTTGGAACCTTGCCTCGCACAGTCCAGTTTTAGCGTTACACACGCACACACACAGTCCGTGTCTCACACAGTCATGCTTTGACAGATAACAGGGAACACAACTAACCTTGACTTAGGCAAGTAGAGGTTTATTTTGTTCTCACACAAGAGGCCTGGAAATGGGACGCTGGCTCTGGGCTGGCATCTCTACAGTGTTCACAGCTTGCTGTTCCAGCGTGTTGCCTCGTGGCTGCACCATGGCTGCCACAGCTCTGGGCATCACCTCCACCGTCAAGGTAGGAAGAAAGAGGTGAGATGGCGCCTACTCTGTTTGTCTTTCCTTCCCTTCTTTTTCATCAAGAAAGTTTTAAAAACCCCAGAAGTTCGCAGAAGACTTCTGCTTTGTCTCAATGGCCAGAAATGGGCCATTTCTCCTCTCCCAAGCACATTTCCACCTGAATCTGCCTCCAGACAGACAGAAATCCTCCCCAGGGGGGCAGAAGGGTGGGGAGGAAGCCCAGTGAGCAAAGAAGAATCCGCTCAGGAAGAAGTGAGGGCTGGGACCACACAACCCGATTTGTCCGCACACGAATGAATGAAAGACGTGACATACTCGTGCCCCTGAGTAAAGCGCATCCACGTAGTAAAATGGCCACATGGGGCGACAGACATGTGAACAGTTCCAAGCAGAGCCCTCTGTGCCAACTCCTTGGCTTCAGGCCGGTCTCTCTCTGGGTCTCAGTGTCTCTTCTGCGGAGGGCTGACGGCCCAGGTCCTGGCCAGAAAGGTCCGCCTGCAGGTGCCCTGCTGAGGGGGAGGGCGGGTGCACAGGGGCAGGGAGTCCTGCCCTCAGAGCTCTGAAGGGCTGAGACAGGCCTGCCCCAACCACGTGCTTCTAGCACAGGCCTCGAGACCCGCCGGGGAGGCTCTGCTAGGTGCTGGGCCAGCGGCATCTCTCCAGGGAGTCAGTAGGAAATACAGAAGTTTCCTTAAGAACCATGAAAGAAATGGACCCTGGGAAGGACCAAGGGAGGGACTAGGCCAGGTGCCACGCAGGCCCTCCTTCATTATAGCCCTTCCGCATGCACGTGTGTGTGTGTGTGTGTGTGTGAGCGCGCGCGTGTGAGAGCTAGCGATAAGCGTCTGGCCCAGAGGCCCAGCCCTCACCCTCGCACCTGCGGAGGGGCAGCTTGCGTGTTTGGGGTGTCCATCTTTGGCTTGTGGCTCTAGATAGGGTCCCACAGCTTCATTTAAAAGTCCCAGGCAACTCCTGTTTCCAGCTCTGTCGGCGTACCCGGGGCTGGCCTGACCTCGCCACGCACCCCGACAGCAGGTTTGAGACAGTCCCCGACAGGCCCTGGGAAGCGAGCTGCACATGACCGAGAGCCAGGAGAAAGGATGCTCAGGATGGGAAAAACACAAGGTCCCATGAGACAATCCCCACCACAGCTTGGCAGGCTGGGCGCCTCAGGAAGCACTCGGATCCCACTGAGCCAAGGGGGCAGAGGTCAGAGTTTAGGGCACAGAAACTGGGGCAGGGCACCAGTCAGGAGCTACGGAGTTGGGACTAGAATGGGATTCCAGAGGTTGGTCCGCGCTGGGGGACAGGTCCACCAGGGTGCCCAGCCTCCTTGTCCCCTCTACCTCCAGCAGAGATGACATCCCAAGCAAGGCAGGACCCACTTTAGACTCTCCATAACACACTTCAGTCACGCCGTGCTGGGGCCTATGAGGGATGGCGGCAGAGGAACATGTCCCCAAGTCAGGGGAGCTTGAGGACACCGGGGGCTGCACAAAACCTGCCAACAAAATATGAGATCAGGTACACACAGGATCAGGGTCAGCTGGGAGAAGTGGAGCTCTCCACTAGGACACCCATCAACACCCTCCAGAAGAAGAAAAGAGAACAGAGCAACCCCACGACATATCACTCAGAATGCAGGGTACACAGTAAAAAATCAGGAGACATTGGGGTTAAAAATAAAAGCCAGGAGAAGGAGACCCACAGTCCAAAGAAGCAGTCAGTAAAAACAACCACAAGATGACCCGTGGGCCAAAGAAGTCATCATAAGGACATAAAAAATACCACTAACCATAAAAGAAAAAAAAATCGATACATTGACTTCATCAAAATTAAAATATTCTGCACTTAGGAAAACATGGTAACAGCACCTGGGTGGCTCAGTCGGTTAAGCGTCTGCCTTCGGCTCAGGTCGTGATCCTGGAATCCTGGGATCGAGCCCCATCTCAGGCTCCCTGCTCAACAGGGAGTCTGTTTCTCCCTCTCCCTCTGCCCCTTGCCCCCCCCCCATGCTTGCTCTCTCTCTCTCTCTCCTCTCTCTCTCTCTCCTTCTCTGTGAAATAAATCAATCAATAAAATAAAAAAGAAAAGAAAAACATGATTTAAAAAAAAACTGAAAAAGCAAATCACAGACAGAGAAAGAACCAAGGCACACCTGTGGCCAAAGACTCCTGGGCAGAACGTATCAAGGACTCTTACAACCGAATCATAAGACAAACAACCCAATAAAAACCTGGGCACAGGATGTGAACTCACACCCCACAAAGGAGAGACCCAAGCAGTTGCCAGTAAGCACGGGGAGCGCCGCTCAGCGTCATCAGCGATCACAGGAATGCAGATAAAGAGCCCGGGGAGACACCACTCCACACCCGCCACAACTGGTTCCCATTAGAGATGGGCATCGCCAGTGCCGGCGAGGGTATCTAGGACTCTCCGGAGTCGCAGGGGGCCGTGTGAAATCGCACAGCTACTTTGGAATCCCTTGGCAGTTTCTTGTAGGTTCAAATACACTTTTACTCTACAACCCAGCTGTTCCCCAACAAGGTCTTTCCCCGAGAGGAAGGATTACATCTGCTTACAAGAAGGGTTGGCGCAAGTGCTCACAGCAGAAACCGGAATTAGCCGGCTGGGCGTCAACATGGGAATGGATAAGCACTCTGGGGTATGTTTGCCATAAAAAGGAGCAAACTGGGGGCGCCCCGGGGGGCTCAAGCTGTCAAGCATCTGACTCTTGATTTCGGCTCAGGTCACAATCTCAGCGTCATGGGCTCCAGCCCCACATCGGTCTCCACGCTGAGCATGAAGCCTGCTTAAGATTCTCTCTCTCTCTCTCCCCCTCTGCCCCTTCCCCTCTCATGTGCGTGCTCTCTCCCTGTCTTAAAAAAAGGAATAAACTGTAGATACAATCAGCCTCACGCAAACTCACAGCCGTTATGCTGAGTGGAAGGAGACAGAGGCAGAAAGGTCCACGCGGCATATGGTTCCATTAGCTCGGGATCCCACAACGGGCAGCCCTGGAATTCAGCGTCAGAGAGCAGACCAGTTGTTACCTGCAGATGGGGAAAAGCTGATTGGCTGATTGCAAAGAGGCACAAGGAAATGTCTAGAAATGTTCAATAGCCTGGTAGAGGTCGTGGCTACTCAGCTAAGCAGATTTGTCAACTCTGCCAAATTGTATACTTAAATTGATGGATTTCATTGTATGTAAGTTGTATCTCCATAAAACTCATTTTCTTTTAAGCCCAAGACATTAGTGTCTTGTCTTCTCTTTCTCTCTACCCCAGACTAGATAGGGTACATGTGGGTAGGTTTGTGTGCTCAAATCCAAATATTTAACCCAATGGCGGCACAACCCATGAATGCTGCATTCTCCAGCAGCAATGCCATGTCAGCAAGCTACCGCCACATCCCAAAGGTCTATGCAGTGAAGGTTTGTGGCTTGGGCACTTGACATGGTAGCCACCAGTCTGTGCCACATGCTTCATGCCAGGGTCCAGGCTGAAGGCGCTGTCCAGGTGTGGGATGTGCCATCTTTCCTGGCAAGTCTCAATGGTACTTCAGTGCTTCCATTCAAAAGGATATCCTCTTGCATTCCATTGGCCAAAGTAAGCAGATAGCCAAGCCCAGCAGCACGGGCAGAGACGCGGGCCCTTTCTGTGGGAGGAAATGTCATGACACAAGGCCTCCGTGGGGATGTCCCATTCTCTTATGGGGAGGGAATGCAGTAGAGTTTGAACAAAAATGGCATCTATCACATCTTCTAATCAAGACATACACACACATACACACATGTATACACATATATGTGATGGACTCTTACATATGGCTTCACGCCTTGCAAAGTCTTTTCATAGCCACAGTCCCATTTAACAAGGTCAGAGACTTGCCTATTTTTATTTTTTATTTATATGTTTGAGAGAGAGAGAGAAAGAGAGAGAATGCACGAGTGGGGAAAGGGGCAGAAAGAGAGAGGGAGAAGCAGACTCCCCGCTGAGCAGGGAGCCCGATGTGGGGCTCAATCCCAGAACCCTGAGATCATGAACTGAGCCCAAAGCAGACACTTAACTGACTGAGCCACCCAGGCACCCACTTTTTAAATTTTAAGTGTTATTTATTTAAGTAATCTCCACACCCAAAGTGGGGCTCAAACTCACAACCCAAGATCAAGAGTCTCATGCTCTTCTCACTGAGCCAAGCAGGCACCCCAACAAGGTCACAGACTTAAAGATGAGGGGGGCAATCTGGGATGAGGGGCCTTTTGTAAACCCTACCCATCACCCAGTCCCCCAAGCTAATCCGTTTCTCCTCAGATGTTCCTCACCAACTGGTGGCCCTACAGTTCCCTGTTCTCCAGGCTGGAGACTTAGGCTTCCTCTCCAACTCTCCTTCCCCCCAAACCCTCCAACTAATAAGTGTGTCATGGAGGATATTTATTATTAAAGGCACAGAACTCCCAACTCAAACTGGATTAAACAACACAGGGACACATAGTACAAGGCACAGCTTAATCCAAAAGCTCAAATTATCAGGCCAAGAACTGTTTTTGTTTTTGTTTTTTCTCTGTTTCTTTGCTTTGCTTCTTTAAGGTTGGCTTCATTCTCAATGAATAGCACCCCCTAGCATTGTGCAGTGCACAACTTACACATCTGTCCATGGCTGCTGCCCACATCTGTTGGACTAAGGTGGGAATAGAGGTGGATAACAGGCCACTCCCATTTCTGGGCAGCCCAATCTTCAGGTATAGGAGGCATGCTGGCTAAGGTTCATTTAACAGGGCAGGGCTGCATGCTTTTAATAACCCATATGAAAAAACTACCTGAGAGTAGGAAAAGAACCACCCAAAGAGATGTGAGGGAAGAGTGCCCTGTGCACACAGGGCCAGGGATTGTGCCTGGCACCAGAAGCTCGTGATTTCATGGGGTATCAGCTAGAATACTAAGAATGAATTTTGCCTTGAAGTTGGGTAAAACGAACCCCAGAGACAATGCTGCTCTGGCCTCACCCAATAAATATTAAAAGCAAGACCAAAAAAGGATCAGAGTTTCTCCAGGGAACTTAACTGCATCCAAGAACAAAGGTCAAGAGTGCTTTTTTGAAATACAAACATTACAAGCACCCAACAAAGTAAAACTTATCTTGTCAGCCATGCAACCCAAAATTATCAGCAGGAAACTACAACCCAAAATGAGGAGAAAAACCAATCCATCAAACAGGCAGACAAACAATAAAGGTAAAGAGCATGAAAGCAAGTGTGAATACTGTATTCCCACACGACAGTAATGTCAGAGGGAAGCTTTAGCAGAAACTGTTGAGGAGTATACATGAATTCTGTGCCACCTTTGCACATTTACTGCAAAGCTGAGATTATTTCCAAATTAAGTCTTTATGTTTTCTAAAGCCAGAGGAAAGATTGAATGTATTAAACAGAAACAAAATATATATATATTTAAAAAGACCCAGTGTGGATCTCTGGAGATGGAAACTAACATTTCAGATGAATTAAATACTGGATGGGATTAATGGTGGGTTAGACATTGCAGAAGGAAGGCTGAGTGAACTAGAAGACAGAGAAATAGAAATTAGCCAAGATGAACCTGTACAGAGGGGAAAATAACCAACAAAGAAATAAGCAGCGACAATAAACCATGGGAAATGTTAAAGTGTTCAGATGTAAGTGTCACTGACCCCTGAAGGAGGATAGGGAGCCAGAAAAAAAATTTGGAAAAATAATGGCTAAAAATTTCTAAATTTGATGGGAACTTTAAGCTCACAGATCCAAGAAGCTCAATGAACCTCAACACAAACAACATGAAGAAAAATACACCAAGATGCATCATAATCCCACCGCTCTCTTTGCCAAGTTACTTTCCTCCCTGTGCCTTTGTTCCCCCCTTGTGCAGGGCAACCATGGAAGAGGTGAGAACCTGTGAGTCTCCAGCATAAGCACTCTCCCTGGGTCGACTAAAGCACCTCCTGCATGGGAACAGACACAATGTCCCCTGGGTGCCGGGATTAGAGGACCCAGGGCCAGTCTATGCTGCCAGCCTCTGGTAGCCAGGGGCCAAGCCTGCCTGGGCACTCAGCCTGGGCACTTCTTAGCACATGCTTTCCCAGAAGCCAGTATGGGAGGCACCAGTGGGACCCATTGTCCCAGAAACAGAGTGTCCCAGCCATGCCTCTGGGGCTCACAAGGCAGTCTCCAGCAGTAGGTGACCAACCATCCTGGTGCCCAGGGGAGGGAGCCTCAAGAATGGTGGACTTTCATGATTCAACCAGCCAGGCAAGTCTAACAGAGCCACCACCCACAAAGCCACCTCCTCCATCTCCTCCTACTCCTCCTGTGACAACCTAAATATGCATCATTGGGGATTGGATAAATACATCCATAAGATACCGCTAATAAGTTCTCCTGTAACAAAATGGGGAGCTGTGTTCAGTATCTGGAAGATTCCACAATATGCTGGTACCTGGATAAAGTTCCAGAACACCAAGATTCCCTGGCAGGGAACAGAACATTAATAGCTGGCTAGACCTGGAGAGAAGTCTACAGGTGTCCCAGGGTTATCTCTAGAGGCGGGCATGGTTTTTATTTCTTTCCTTGGGCCTTCCTACATTGTTCAAATTGGTTTACTTTTCCCAATAAAATCAGCAAAGGTAGCCACAGCATTTTACAGTTTATAACAAAGTTTCCCTGCCAAGGTGCTCCCTGGGGACGTGGGAAACTGGAGTAACAGTAGATCTCAACCTTGGTTCCCTGACACTGGGGAGCTGGGTCAGTATCAATCTGTTCCCTGGAAAGAGGGGGCAAATGAGCCAGGTTTGGGTCCAGCAAAACAAGAGTCTTTTGTCCTCAAACTTGGATGTTAGCCCTGTCATAAATTTTGCTTTCTTGGG